ATTGTGGCGTCACAGATGAAGGTTGTGCTGCTCTGGCTTCAGCTCTGAGATCAAACCCCTCACACCTGAGAGAACTGAATCTGTCTCTGAATAAACTAGGAGATTCAGTGAATCTGCTCTCTGATGTACTACAAGATCCTCGCTGTAAACTGGAAATACTGTGGTAAGATTATATATGACACACTGTAAAATATCTGTGAAGTGAAAAACAAATCACCCAAAAAAGCCAGAAAACACAATAAGTCAGACAAAATGTAAAAATTAGGTATTGTTTGTGAATGGAATACTTACTACTGATTGGATGAGACAACTGTTAATCAAGATACAGAGATACAGAAAGTAAAACATTGCGTGACTTTGTTTCTTGTACATGTGTGGTTTTCATGTTAAACTGGTTTCTGCATTAGCAAAACCTTTAAATGGATTGTCTGTTTACACTAAGTGCTAATAGCCCGTCTTGTTAGCAAAGGTTTGACTGTTAGCAGACAAAATTACTAAAGAAACCAGTCAGATAAGTGGGAGAGTAAGGACAGTGGGCTTTTGAGGCGACCAACCCGAGTACAAATCTGCATTTCTTCTCATTTATTCCATTGTATATTAGTTCAGAGAGGTGTTTATATTAAAGAAAACATAAGAAAATATTCAAAACATGGAAATAAAATGTCTAACATGTATATAATTAAAATTGTATGTGGTGTCCTCACGTTGATCAGCTGTTCTGGTGAATCAACCACATGCAGCTCATATTGTTTGCAAACTCAAAAGCGTGACTCTCTTCCTGCAGCTTCAAGAACAGCTTTACTGATCAGCAGCTTCAGTGTGATTAGGAGCAGGTGTGGGGGGGCTTTAGGAATAGACACAAGGAAGGACACTATAAGGCAGCATCTGTTTATAATGGATAGAATCATATAAAGAATATGTTATGTACTGTTTTGTAAAGCACTGCAATACATTGAGGTGTAAGTACTATCTGCCACAATTTACATAAACTATGAATAATATCTCACAGTGTAGGTGATCTCAGGTTTGGCTATCCTTGGGTGATGGAGGAGAAACACACACACCAGTACTCCATACATATTAATACAGATTAAAATAGCACTATAGTGCTCAGCTGTGTAAGGAATAGTGTGATTAAACAGATTTTTATGAATGTCTACATAAGACAGACAATTTGGTTAAAAATCCAGACTTTTTTTTGGTTAATTTTTGTTGTTAGTTTTTTTGAATGAGGCTTTAAATTATTTATGATCATGTTTTTTTTTTCTTTGACATTTTCAATTTCAGTCCAATGATGCATCACTCATTGATTTGTACTTTCTCTTTAATAATGGATTCACAGCTAAACTGATCTGATCTGCGAGAGTGAAGAGTGTGTCATTGTTCTCTACAGGTTGAGTGATTGTGGCGTCACAGATGAAGGTTGTGCTGCTCTGGCTTCAGCTCTGAGATCAAACCCCTCACACCTGAGAGAACTAAATCTGTCTGGAAATAAAATAGGAGATTTGGGTGTGAAGCGTCTCTGTGCTGGACTGGAGGATCGTCACTGTAAACTGGAGAAACTCTGGTAAGATCATCTCTCTGATAGTCTCATGTGTTTGTCCTCAGTAAGATGTGTCCTTTAGTGTAAATTGTAAGACTAAAGCTTGTAAAATAAATGATGGATGGATGGATGGGGCATGACAATCCCTGCCAGTACCGAGACTCAAACCCACGACCTGTGCGTTACAAGTCATACTCTCTAACCATTAGGCCACGACTTCCCCATATAGATGATAGATACGAAATATTAGATAGAATGGAAGATTAAGTGAGTTTGAATTGTCTAGAAATAGTACATAGTATGGCAGCTAAATGGCGTCTAAAGGCCTTTCAGTTTATTTACATTTGAATTTTGACATTTGTTGTCACGGAATGCCAGGAGAAAACAAGGTAGATCCAAATGCAGTAGTTTATTAAAGTAACAGAATCAGAACAGAACAAAAACTAGATAAAAGGTAATCCAAAACACAGGGAACAGAAAACATGTAACCAAACAAGAGCAGAGAGAGTTTAGTACCAGCCTTGACGGCTGCAACAGGACAGGCCGATTGCTCCGCAATGGTCCCTGTGAGCTCCCGGACTGGAGTGACTTCCTTAATGAGCTCTGAGAGGTCCTGAACTGGAGCAGGCTCTGAATTGGACCTTATGAGCTCCCGGACTGGAGCGGGCTCAGTAGCAGACTCAGAGGGCTCCCCGATTGAAGTGAGTTCCTTAATGTGCTCTGTGGGCTCCTGGACTGGAGCGGGCTCTGGAGTGGACCCTGTGGGCTCTGGAGTGGTGGACTGGAGCGGGCTCTGGAGTGGACCCTGTGGGCTCCCGGACTGGAGCGGGCTCTGGAGTGGACTCTGTGAGCTCCTGGACTGGAGCGGGCTCTGGAGTGGACCCAGAGAGCTCCCGGACTGGAGTGAGTTCCTTAATGAGCTCCCGGACTGGAGCGGGCTCTGGAGTGGGCTCAGACTGGAGCGGGCTCTGGAGTGGGCTCTGTGAGCTCCCGGACTGGAGCGGGCTCTGGAGCGGGCTCTGTGAGCTCCCGGACTGGAGCGGGCTCTGGAGTGGGCTCTGTGAGCACCCGGACTGGAGCGGGCTCTGGAATGAGCTCTGTGAGCTCCCGGGCTGGAGTGGGCTCTGGAGTAGACTCTGGGAGCTCCCGGACTGAAGCGGGCTCTGGAGTGGGCTCTACTGTCCCTGCGGACGGGTTCTGATTGGCCCGGTATTGCCCACTGACTTCGACCATGGAGATACTTGACGAAGCCCCAGAAGTCTAGGATCTCGAGTCCTTCCATCTCCCACTGGGGCACAGGATCATCCAGACAGACATTAAGGAAGTCCTTAAGTGCAGCCTCATTATAATTCAGCCCCACCACCAACATCCAAAAGGTCTGGGTGAAACCACCAACCTCCATTCCCTGCTGCCTCAGAGCCATCAGAGCCCAGTGTCGAGCCACTCGCTCCTTCCCTGTGGCAGGAGGGGGAATCCGAATGTCCATTGTCCAACCAAAAGGCAAAAGCAAAACAAACTGCTGGATCTTGTACTGGCTGCAGTATTCTGTCACGGAATGCCAGGAGAAAACAAGGTAGATCCAAATGCAGTAGTTTATTAAAGTAACAAAGAATCAGAACAGAACAAAAACTAGATAAAAGGTAATCCAAAACACAGGGAACAGAAAACACAATGTAACCTCGAACAATACTGCAGCAAAGACAGACAGTGAGAGCATGGTATACGTAGCGATGAATTGATGAGTAAATTACTAACAGGTGATCATGATCAGAACAGAACGACAAGGCAAAGGACTATGGGAAACAGAGTTCAAAACATGTAACAAAGAAACAGGAAGAGCGCCCTCAAGTGGCCAGTCCAGGGCACCACAACCAGACACTGTGACATTTGTAGTTTGAGTAGTCTTGACTCATCTGAACATTTCGTCAATGTAAGTCTGTGGGATTTTTATGATTTTTAATCTTAATTTTTTAGGAAAACCGTAATTACAGGTGTAAGTGACTGTTTCGCCAGACAGATCCGTCCTCATATCACTATGAAACAATACAGGTGCATCTCAATAAATTAGAATGTCGTGGAAAAGTTCATTTATTTCAGTAATTCAACTCAAACTGTGAAATTCGTGTATTAAATAAATTCAATGCACACAGACTGAAGTAGTTTAAGCCTTTGGTTCTTTTAATTGTGATGATTTTGGCTCAAATTTAACAAAAACCCACCAATTCACTATCTCAACAAATTAGAATACTTCATAAGACCAATAAAAAAAACATTTTTAGTGAATTGTTGGCCTTCTGGAAAGTATGTTCATGTACTGTACATGTACTCAATACTTGGTAGGGGCTCCTTTTGCTTTAATTACTGCCTCAATTCGGCGTGGCATGGAGGAGGATTGTCAAGCAAAATCGATTCAAGAATTTGAGTGAAATTCACAAGGAATGGACAGAGGCTGGGGTCAAGGCATCACAAACAGATGTGTCAAGGAATTTGACTACAGTTGTCGTATTCCTCTTGTTAAGCCACTCCTGAACCATAGACAACGTCAGAGGCATCTTACAGTGTTGGTCCATTGTGTTTTCTGAAAACCAACGTCACTGCACACGTTTACCAAGAAATTGTGGAGCACTTCATGCTTCCTTCTGCTGACAAGCTTTATGGAGATGCTGATTTCATTTTCCAGCAGGACTTGGCACCTGCCCACACTGCCAAATAACAAACTACAGACACTTCAACTACAATTCACATTCTGTCATTGTTCTCTACAGGTTGAATGATTGTGGCGTCACAGACGAAGGTTGTGCTGCTCTGGCTTCAGCTCTGAGATCAAACCCCTCACACCTGAGACAACTGTATCTGACTGGAAATAAACTAGGAAAATCAGGAGTGAAGTTACTCTCTGATCTGAAAGATGATCCACATTATAAACTGGAGATAATATACTATTGTGAGTATATTATTATTTAAATATTTTTAAAATGGTCGAAGTTTAGTAACAGGCCTCATGTGTGTGTAATTGGAGAATATAAGATAATAAATAATCTCCACTTTAGTTTCTGTACTTTAAACTGTGTTTAATTCTGTGATGATCTATGAATATATGAATATTTTCATCTCTTCCAGTGTCGCAGGGTGTAAATGATAAAGAGAAAGTTGTTGATCATTCACTGTTATTAATCTATGATCAGTTGTTCATTCATATCTCTGGCTGTAATATGAATATACTGTGTATTTTTCTGAAATGGATCTGCTGATGTGATGTGACAGCAGTAATGTCTCATACTCCTATGTGACTGTCTGTGTGTTTTATTGTAGGACTCTCAGTATTTAGACGTCAGTCCAGTTCTCTCAGGATCAGCTGATGGTGAATAAGAGCCGCTACAGAGACGTCACAGTCACACAATTAACAGAGCCTGAAGACACAAAGACACAGCATCACACTGTCATGTGTGTCGTCTTTCACTGTCTTGTTTTATAGGTAATGGCCATGAAATTGAGTGCAGAATCATGTTGGATTCACTAGATATTGTCTACAATGTAGATCGGGGGTGTCAAACATACGGGCCACAAAGATGTCCTATCTGACCCCCGGATGATTTGAACAATAATATCAAATAATAAAAAAAACATTCTTTTGAAAATTAAATAAAGTGTATTTGTGTTACGAACTGCTCCAAGACTTGGGTTGAAGATACACACGCAGCTTTAATAAGAGTAATCCACAATCATAATCTAAATACCAGGCAAAGGGTCAAACAATCCAAACAACAGAGTCCCAAACACAGACAAACAGGGAAATACAGGAAACCAGGCACAAGATCAAAACCATAACACATGTAACCAGAGAGAGAGCTCAGAAATACAGTGTGACACAAACAAGACTTCACAAGAGAGAGTGAAAACACAGGGCTTATATGGGTATTTAAGGAGAAATGGAAAGAAAGGTATTTGATCTGTGAGGTCAACTCAGTTTGTTTAATCACAACCTGTCGTTGTGGCAAAAGTTTCAATATAAACGGCACTATGAGATGAACTGTTCGCTTAGGATGAGAAAAGTAGTTAGCTAGGAGTGTGGGTTATTTTTCATCTACTATATCGTAATTGTTTTAATGATGTGTGAGGTGACAATATGTAATTCTGCCAAAAAATAAAAACTGCAGAATGTCTTATTTTGACATCAAATTATTCAGATTGTATTTCCCTCAAAACGTCGTCACCAAACAGTCGTTTCCAAACACGTTCACCAATGTATCAGTTTTACAGTAGACTACAATAGTGATTGTGTGTGGTACAGAAGCACTACAGCATCACAAGCCATGAACAATGCTTTCTTAACACCAAATAGCATATAATGAACATAAATGTTATCAGTCATATTTAACAAATCAGTGCTGCGTCCGAGAGTTTGCTGGGTAGTGTGCCACAAAATGTAATTTCAGCGTTCTGCACTGTAAAAATGGTAATTAATAAGTCATAGCAACATATGTTTTTCCATTATTTTATCTCATCAAATTAATTTAACCAATTTCAACTTTAATTTTAAAGTTAAGTTATTTTTAAATGGTGTCATTTTGGCATTCTGCCAAAAAACGGAAGCAAAGTAGCTAAACGCTCAATTGAAAAATGACAATTTGAGTTAAAAGTTTGGTTTAGACCTTTTAAGTGGAACAAATTGGGATTTAGCGCAAAGAAACACTGGATGCTGAGAAAGATGTAATCAATCTGAAACGTGATCCATAACAGGCCTAACCATCTCTGAGCTTAATAGAGCTGTTAATGTTGATGTGAGATGGGCAGAGTATTTCGTCTTCTGTGTTTAACTTGGGGTTATAATCATAATTTACTCTTTGAAACAAGACAGAGAGGAGAGCTAGTTGTCACAAGATTTTTACAGTAATCAAGGGCGCCACAGTCATGGTGCGAGGCCACCCTCGATCAATTCATTTTTATTTTCTTAAATACATGAACATGTTTTAACCATCAGTGGTGTAGTCAAATAAAACTGTGATGATCCCAAATTGATCGAGACCCAAAGAGGCTTTTAATGGAATAAAGAAAAGTGGTAAAAGAACTAGAATATTTAGTAATGCACAAAGATTTATTTATTTATTTATTTTTTACCCAGAAATCGCTGGTAAATTTTACAAACATCAGGGCTAACTACAAAGGATCAGCGAGTAGCACATTGAATTAAACGTCAAATTTAAGTAAAATATATATTTTTTTGTAAAGCTTACTACAGTAAAATAATAAAAACCATGTTCTTTCTGAAATTACAAGATTTCACAATTAAAGAAATGGCAAGTCACACTGAATTAAATGTGAAATGTTTAAGTAGAAAAACTAAAATCGTGTTTTCTTGTAAAACATACTCAATAAAAAAATTTTTATTTACAACCTAGAAAAAATGTTTACAGTGCATTTAAAGTGCACTCTTAAAAACAGAGGTGCTTCACGATGCCACAGAAGATCATTTTTTGTCTAAATGGTTCCATAAAGAACCTTTAACATCTGAAGAACCTTTCTGTTTCACAAAAGCTTCTTTGTGGCGAAAGAAGGTTCTTCAGATTATAAAAAGGTAAGAAAGAGATGGTTCTTTAAAGAACCTTTGACTGAATGGTTCTTTGTGGAACCAAAAATGGTTCTATGGCAACGCTGTGAAGAACCTTTTAAGCACCTTTACTTTTAAGAGTGTATTGCAAATACTATTTTTATATTAAAACATGCACACATCCGGTCTTAATCATATGCACAAAATGCTGAAAATGGCTAATTTCTGTTTCTTGTTTCATTGCATTCAAATACGAATTACATGAATCACATCAATTAAATTATATTTTCTATTCAAAATGGCAACATTTGACAAGAAAGTCGAGTAGTTTGTCGTGGCTGTAGTGTATTAGACACACAGACACTGACCTCCAGTAATTGAGAGGAGTTAGTGACACTTCTGATGCTTTGTAGAGTTTTCTTGAAGTCTAATTCATTTTATTGTATCTCTTCAGAAAATGAACCGGTTCAATAAAAACGATACGCTGATTCATTCAAAGTGTTCCCAGAAGCCCATGTGCAGTGTTTAACACATTCACTGTTTAAAGGTAGGCCTAAATATTTAGATAAATACATTGCAGAGAACTTCAGAAAGGAAGTTTAGTGAAAATTCTGATAATATTAACCCTGAAACGAGGGAAACAAGTGCATCTAAGTGCGTTTTACCTAAAACAAGTAAAATTATCCACCATAGGGTAAAAAAAAAAATCTTAATGCAAACAGTAACAAGATTATATATATATATATTTTTACCCAATTGGCAGATAGTTAGCAAAATAATAAAAAAAAATTTAGTTAAATTAGGCTTTTCCCCCAGGAAACAAGACTAACTATCTCGTAATTTTTCTTATGTAGAAAATGCATCTTGATTTAAGAGTCTTTAGATATTTTGACTGGAAACAAGACGAAAAGCATTTTTTGCAGTGCAGGTACATTCATTTATTTAGCATATTTTCATCATGCAAACAACGTCAAAGTGACAAAAATAGCATGTCCTTTTATACAGGATCCTGTCAGTGACGGACTGGGAGTAAAAACGGCCCTGGATTTTCTCCCAAATAGGCCCACCACAACTACAAACAATCTCACATTAGTACAGCAATCCTATCACATTTATGGCAAATAACATCACAAAACCCAAGGTGACCCTGCTGACAAAAACAATAGAAACCATCACAGAAATTTGAATGATTTCCACTACAAATGCCATCAAAAACATTACAAACCATCAACTTTTAACCATTAAAACCATTATATAGTGGTTTCTCTTGTGTGTTTTGGGACATATTAGGATTTAGTGGCTTTAACAAAAGCCATGACTAGAAGGTGACCAATTACCAGTAGAGACCAACAGGTGCCATTAAATTTTCCAGGTCCATCAGGCATCAGGTCCTCCCACGCAGCCGCAGCAGCATTCCACTAGCTAGCGTTGTGGAGCCGGTCGCAGAAAGGACGCCTAGCCCGTCCAGGCCCCGCCAAACCTGGCGGCAAGCGCAAGTGCAAGAGGCTCTAAAACGGGCGACCAGGAGATGGAGGACACTGCTCGTCGGGAGATGGTGACTGCACCACTCCCTCCCCCGTGGGAGGGCCGGGTGGAGAATCTTTTGTTCTATTTTGTTTTTGTTCCACTGCTGGCCCAGCAGCCAGCGGTACCCAAAACTTCTACAAAAGAGCAGTTTCCTCAGTCTCTGGGTCTCAAGAGGAGGAGAGGGGTGAACCGTGCATCACAGGATCGCTTCCCTCCTTCTCTCTCGCCAGCGGGCAGCAGTGGGTTGCCCAAGAGCACCCCTCCTGCCCATTCGTGAAACCAGGTAAGGGCTGTAGCACTCGAGTCCCCGCTTCATGTCATCACACGCCGGGCTGTCACAAGCCTCAAGCCGGGCTCCTGCGTTTTCTCCCGCACGAGGAGAAATCAGGTAAGTGTTACACGTTGCACCCAGATCCCGCCCCCTGCCGTTACAGGCCCCGGGCCGGGTCCCTGTATTCCACCACGCTGCCCCACCGCGGGTACTTCGGTGACCCCGCTGGTTCCGCTGGTACGGTCTCTCACAGCCTGGCTAGCGCTCCCCAGTCCATCTCGGTGGTTCCTGAAGACCATCAGACTCGGCTACGCGATTCAGTTCACCTGGCATCCCCCCAAGTTCAGGAGAATCCGGTTCACTTCAGTCAAGGACGTCGATGCCCCTGTCTTGCTTCGCGGAAATTGCAGTCCTGCTGGCGAAGGATGCGATAGAGCCGGTCCCTCCAGCCGATATGAGGTCGGGGTTTTACAGCCCTTACTACATTGTACCCAAGAAAAGCGGTGGGTTATGACCGATCTTGGATCTGCAAATTTTGAACCGTGCACTTCACAAGCTACCGTTCAAGATGTTGATGCATAAACGCATTTTCGAATGTGTCCGTCCCCAAGATTTTTTTGCAGCATTCGACCTGAAGTACGCATACTTTCATGTCTCAATCCTCCCACGGCACAGGCCACTCCTGCGATTCGCGTTCGAGGGGTGGGCATATCAGTACAAGGTCTCAGCCTGTTTAGTCTTCGGGCCAACTGGGAAAAGAGCAAACTCATGCCAATGCAGAGGATCTCTTTTCTCAGCATAGAGTTGGATTCGGTCAACCAGACAGCATGCCTCACCCAGGAACGTGCTCAGTCGGTGCTGAACTGCCTCAAGACTTTATCAGGCGGGACGGCAGTCCCACTGAAACTCTTTGAGAGGCTCCTGGGGCATATGGCTGCAGCTGCGGCGATAGTTTCGCTTGGTCTGATCCATATGAGACCGCTTCAGCACTGGCTTTATGGCCAAGTCCCGAGGTGGGCGTGGCGACGAGGTACTCACCGGGTTCAGATTACACTGGCCTGCCACAGAACCTTAAGCCCGTAGTCAGATTCCTCGTTCCTTCAGGCAAGAGTGCCCCTGGAACAGGTATCCAGGCATGCTGTGGTATTCACTGATGCCTCGGCCACCAGCTGGGGCTTTTGTCGGCCATCAATG